CTCCCCTGCCGCGCTGGCGGGGGGTGGGGGGCGGCGGGAGGCTTTTTTGCCTGGGGCGGCAAAAAAGCCAGAGCCAGCCCTGATTAAGCCAGTTCTGATCCTTTTGAAAACTCCATCCCATATCTTCCCCTAGATGATGATTTTGTTTGCCCAGTAGGTGGAGCAAGCACATCAGTTAATAGTTGTGAACGGACAGGATTTGTTCCATTCTGTGTGTGAAAACATCTTTATTTCCCTCAGGAATCCTATACTTTTATGTGTATCATCCAATCAGTGTTTTTAAAAAAGCAATAATGAGATGATTGAGGCAATTACACTCAGGCTATCAACATATGCTATTGTTATTGTACAGTGTCAGAGGTATGCATGGCACTTTAGAGGCAAAATAAAATGTTCTTTGCCCCAAGGAGGCTACCATAGGAAGACATGATAAAGTGACACAAGGAGTCCCATTAATGAAAACAGGTGAGCATGTTCTCACCCATTAGAGCAGGGGTTCTCAAACTTGGGGTTGGGACCTCTCAGGGGGTTGCGAGGTTATTACATGGGGGGGTCACAAGATGTCAACCTCCACCCCAAACCCCGCTTTGCCTCCAGCATTTATAATAGTGTTAAATATATAAAAAAGTGTTTTTCATTTCTAAGGGGGGTCACACTCAGAGACTTGCTATGTGAAAGGAGTCACCAGTACAAAAGTTTGAGAGCCACTGCACTAGAGGAAGGGTTGCACAGTTAAGTCTTTATAGCCATACCAGACCAGAGTTTCAACATGAGTAAGCATGGCAGTAGTACCTTACTCTAGTCCCAGTGAAATCAGGAATAATTCTCAGTATGAGTAAAACTGGTAGAATCTGGCCCATTGAATAGAATTACATGTATTATTACATTTAAAAAAACTAATACATTAAAAAGAAAGCTAAGGGTGTAAAGTCAAGCTTTCAAAAGTTAGGAAATGCCAGAGTTAAGATTGCCTGTGGAACTTTCATGTGGCGTCCTCATGTATGTGCATTATGATACAATCTCTATTTACACGATTGCATAGCATTTTTTTCTGCAGGATCCTTCCCTCATTCACTGTGCAGGATGGATGATGCTCCTCCCACCCCTCACTCCTGTCTGTCTTCCTGACCTGTAAACTCCGTATATCTCTGTATTGCAGGCAGGCTGCTGCCTTCTCCACCTTGCCTGGGCATCAGCTGAAGGAGCACTTAGAATTGCCCTCAGTTCCAGGGCCTGGCACCACTGCAGCCCCAGGCAGCTGGGAAGAACAATTGCAGGCAAAGTCCTGCTCGGTCTCTGCAGCCCTGTGATGGAGCATGTCTGGTACAGATGGAATCAGGGTGACAAACCTCAACTAAGCATCTGGGTAACACCCCTGTTCCATTGTCAAAGTTCAATACCTGCTCCAAGTCATAGGTATGCGAGAGCCTCTAAATGAAACAGTTGTATGACTGTTTTAAACATTGATGAAACAACATATTTTCCCCTCATTTTGTTCTCTGAACCTGCTGAACCATTTTGACTGAAGCTTTCAACAACAACAAAAGAAAATCAGCCTCAGGCAGACACCTGGCATGGAAAATTTCAGCTCAAACAGTTGATGTTTGTCAAAGTTACGTGCAACTGAAAATAGGGGCTTAAAATGGAAGGTGTGAAGCAAACTTAATTATAGGTGGCGCTACAAACAATATCCATATGTGAATGTCTTTTCTGTAAAACGCCACACAACATTTTGATGGTAAGAGCACCGTCCTGCTCCGTTGAAGTCAATGGCAAAATTTCCATTGACTTCAATGGCGCATTTTATATAAATGTTCATTATTAACAGTAATACATATTAGCACAGTTTATGGGGACAGCCATGGAAGATCAGACCAGAAATAGACCCAAGGAATTTAGTTGTGTTGCTTGTAGAGATCAGGCAAAATACATTGGAAGTAGGGAGTAATGTTTGTAGTTTGTTTTAAAAGAATTTCTTGATGGTCACTTGCATGCCCTCATCTCTGAGGATTAGTTTGTGGTTGCCTAAGGGGAGCGTGTTAATGGGAGCATGGGTAGAAATGGTCCTGGAATCAAGCAGAGGAAAATTCTTTACACCCCATTATGGTTGATGTTAGCCATATCAGACCAGAGTTTCAACATGAATAAGCATGAAGAAACCCATGTTTGGATTCATAAGCAAGGAAGGCAAAGAATTGTGCAGGACTCTTTCTGCAAGATCTGGAGATCTGTGAACCAAAAAAAGTGGGTGGTGATCAGGAAAATGAAAAAGTGAAGGCTAGATGAAGGATGCACTGAAATTTGAATTAGTACAGTGCATAATAGCCACAATACAGCCAAGATAACTTGATGACTGCTTAAATTCAGAAAAGGGGTGGATGCGATACAGTAGCAATTGATCATTTTCACATAGCTCTGCATTAGTGATGGAGCTGGCTGAATATTTTTCAACATAATGGTTTTCTGTTGGAAAATGCTGTTTAACTGAAATCAGGACTTTTTGTGGGGACATGTTGACTCAGATCAAAATTTGTTTTGAAAAAAATTGCAAAAGAAGTTTTCCGATAAGGTCAAAATGTTCTGTTTTGACCTTATTAGAACAAGACATTTTGCCTTTTTTTATTCAAAACAACTTTGTTTTAAAATTTATTATATTATAAAATTCGTATATATTACATTATAATATAAAAAGTTGAAATCAGAACAAAACATTTTTAATTTTGTGAGAACAAACTGTTTCAACTGATCCAAAACAAACAGAAAGCCTTTGAGGAGGTCCCTCACCAAAGGCTCTTAAGCAAATTAAGCTGTCATGGGATAAGAGGGAAGGTCCTCTAATGGATTGGAAACTGGTTAAAAGATAGGAAACAAAGGGTAGGAATAAATGATCAGTTTTCAGAATGGAGAGAGGTAAATAGTGGTGTCCCCAACAGGTCTGTACTGAGACCAGTTCTATTCAACATATTCATAAATGATCTGGAAAAAGGGGTAAACAGTGAGGTGGCAATTTGCAGATAGTACAAAACTCTCAAGATAGTTAAGTCCCAGGCAGACTGCAAAGAGCTACAAAAGGATCTCTCAAAACTGGGTGACTGGGCAACAAAATGGCAGAGGAAATTCAATATTGATAAATGCAAAGTACTGCACATTGGAAAACATAATCCCAACTATATATATGAAATGATGGGGTCTAGATTAGCTGTTACCACTCAAGAAAGAGATTGTGGAGTCATTGTGGATAGTTCTCTAAAAACATCCTCTCAATGTGCACTGGCAGCCAAAAAAGCAAACAGAATGTTGGGAATCATTAAGAAAGGGATAGATAATAAGACAGAAAATATCAGATTGCCTCTATATAAATCCATGGTATGCCCACATCTTGAATACTGCGTGCAGATGTGGTCGCCCCATCTCAAAAAAGATGTATTGGAATTGGAAAAGGATCAGAAAAGGGCAACAAAAAATGACTAGGGGTATGGAATGACTCCCATATGAGGAGAAATTAGTACTACTGGAACTGTTCAGCTTGGAAAAGCGATGACTAAGGGGGGATATGATAGAGGTCTATAAAATCATGACTGGTGTGGAGAAAGTAAATAAGGAAGTGCTATTTATTCCTCCTCATAACACAAGGACTAGGGGTCACCAAATGAAATTAATAGGGAGCAGATTTAAAATAAAGAAAAGGAAGTATTTTTTTTACACATCTCACAGTCAACCTGTGGAACTCCTTGCCAGTGGATGTTGTGAAGGCCAAGACTATAACAGGGTTAAAAAAAGAACTAGATAAGTTGATGGAGGATAGGCTCCATCAATGGCTGTTTGCTAGGATGGGCAGGGATGGTGTTCGTAGCCTCTGTTTGCCAGAAGCTGGGAATGGGCGATGGGATGGATCACTTGATGATTACCTGTTGTGTTCATTCCCTCTGGGCACCTGGCATTGGCCACTGTCAGAAGTCCCGATACTGGGCTAGGTAGACCTTTGGTCTGACCTAGTATGGCTGTTCTTATGTTAAATCTCATTCTCTACTTTACTTGAGATTCTAGAGGTCTTCAAGGTATTCTGCTATCTATCCAAAACATTTCTTTTTCCAGTCACATGACCTCTGCATCAAAGAGATTGTCAGTTTACACAAGTTGCTTAGAGACTTTTCTACACTGATTCCTTTTTTAAACAAATCATATAACAGATTTTCTTTCTATTTCTTATTTCTAAGATTGGAGATGAGATAGTTCGGATAAACGGCTACTCCATCTCTTCATGCACTCATGAGGAAGTAATAAATCTCATCCGTACAAAGAAAATAGTGTCCATAAAAGTAAGACGTAAGTAATGCAAAATTCACATGGGTTGCTACAGTTCCCACACTGACAGAGAGAATGTCATGTAGCTAATTCATAATCTGCAGGAAGATTTACCTGACATATTTTTCTCTTGCAGATATCGGCATGATACCTGTCAAAAGGTAAACACAATCAGTCCCTTTCCTAAATTCATATCCAACATACAAATTAGATTCTTCATTTCCTCTGCAATCTCTTATCTACCATTGATATTCTAGAAAGTTGATAATGGCCAACTTTATCAATGATTAAAATGATACACCTTGGCTGATTTGGCAGGCTACTGCCCCATTTGATGCATCTGATTCCCTGTCTTAAATAAGCAAGCTTATCTTTCTGCATTATCAGTGGAATCAGTCTGGAACTCGGACAAATTCCAGCACCAAATTCACTTAGCAGAATGCTCCAAAGTTCTAGCATCTTCCTAACTTTCGGGGTTGTGTTTTAGAAGCAGCCTCTGACTAAAGCTGGCTGAAGTTTTGAAAATCATGATTGGTCTATGATGACTTTTGTTGAAAAATTGAATTTCAATGCGGGGGGGAATAATTGAAATGTTCTGATTAAAAAAAAAATCTTTTAGATTTTTGAGGGATGTTTTGACTAGCTGTATAAACCGGTTGAGATTTTTTGACTTTCGAAAAAAGTTTCCAAAAACCAATAATTTTTCAAAAAGTTTGCTAAATTATATATAGTTTTTTTTTACCAGCTCTACCTCTACCTTTACTGATGTAAATTATTGCGTGTTTACCTGATGTCCTTTAGACAGCTAAGTACTTGACTACAAAATCAATATCATTATTTATCAATAGTACCTACATTTATGTGTGGATGCAAAATTCATGGCTGGATTGAAGCCACATTCAATATACTCATCATTTTTAAACCATTTTCCTCATCATATTTAACCATTTTGGTTTTTTTACTTCTAGCTCTCCAGATGAGCCTCTTAAGTGGCAATTTGTGGATCAGTTTGTGTCAGATTCTGGGGTAAGACACCTAATATCTTATTTTAGTAATATGCCCTCTGGGAACACTTAGCGATATTTAATTTGTTTCCCCCCCACCCCCTTACTTATCTTTTTAGTGATTGCATTTATTTTGATGGTACAAAAACCTGTTAAGTGAAATCTGAAACAAACAGCTATTAATGTCCTACCAGTCTGTTCTTATGTGGCCTTATCCGCCTCTTACTAAAATCAATAGAAAAATCTTCCATTAACTTCAGTGGGAGTTGGATGAGGTTGATAGAAAACATAATTAAAAAGCATCACCTACATTTTCAAAAGTACCTTGTGGTTTTTGAGTGCCTTCGTTTTTGGGTGCCTGAATTGAGAGGGCTTTTAAAGGGGCCTGATTTTTCAGAAGGCAGATGCTCAACCTTTCTGAAAATCAGCCCCTTCAGGGGAGTCTCAGCTAGAACACTCAATATCACTAGCTACTCCTGGAAAATTCAGACTTGTGTATATTTTTGCTCTGATGCCCTGGTGATGAGCACATGGTAAATAAACTGCTAAAGTTTAGTAGACAAATATGAAAATGAAAAGCTCTAGAAGCAGTAATACAGAAAATGTGTGTTAGAAATGAAATGTTTCTACCAATATAAATAAAAGAATCAATAACTTCTGTTGAGTTTGGTGACTCAGCAAGCCAGTGCTTTATGTTGCAAGAGGCAATTTTTAATAGATTATCTGACATACCCTAACTGTGTTATTAGAGGTTAAAATTCCTAGAGTGTGGGAGACTAATGGAAGAACAAATAAGTCTATGAATGACATCCATGGGTTACAGCAGTGCTAAGAGAGCCCATGATTGGCTTTCCCTAGATTTATATCAGGGAAGGGTCCATTTAAAATAAAAGGTAATGAGGGCTATCAATATATTTTAGGCAACTCTTGTCATGATATGCACAAGCTAATCATTTTTCTCTTATGATCTTGCTTTAACTTTTTTTCTACTTTCCTCCTGAGATGTATCTTGACTGTTGTGATAATTCTCTCCGAATAGATAAAGAGTCAAATTCAGTCCTGGCACAGCTCCATTGAAGTCAATGTATTTGCTCGTCCTTACACTGGGGCTGAATTTGGACTATATAGCAGTGTAACCTGTAAATATGTAGGGTGAAATCCAGACACATTGAAATCAATGGGAGTTTTACTATTGGCTTCAGTGGAGCCAGGATTTTACCTGCAGTCTTTTTCCCCTTCTTTCTTTTGCTATAGGAGGGAAAAGGCAGCGTTGCTGGGCTCGCTTCATCTGGAGGAAGGGACAATAAAGAGAAGAAAGTCTTCATTAGTTTGATTGGTTCAAAGGGCATGGGATGCAGGTATGTAGATGTGTCCCATTTAATATGGTTTGCAAGAAACATTGGTAATTTGTGGAGTGAGAAATGCAGAACAGTCTTTGTTTGTGTAGTATCAGCAAAATATACATACAATCTAATATTTTGACAAAGATGTGGGAATACCTTTGTACAATGTGTTATTTAAACACTTAATACTGCAGCATAAATGTCTACTTGCCGAATTCTGCACCTCCATTTAGGTGCATCTTTAAGTCACTACAAAAGAACGACTGTTTATCTTTGTTTTAACCATGTTCAAAATGGAAAATGTGATCAGCTTATTTCATAAAAGACATCTAGAACATGGTATAGGAACTTTTTTCCTTTAGTTACTTATAAATCAAAAGAAAAGAATTATTTATTTTTATTGACAATGTATGGGTCTAAGGATAGCATTTTAAAAAGCACTTAAGTAACTTAGGAGCCTAAGTCCAAATTTCAAATGCAAATAAATTATTTAGGTTCTCTAAAGGCTAAATTTTTAAAGGGTATTTACATACTTAAATATGCAGATAGGTGCCTAGTGGAATTTTCAAAAGTGCCTGAGTGCCATTGATTTCATTTATCAGAGGGGTAGCCATGTTAGTCTGGATCTGTAAAAAGCAACAAAGAGTCCTGTGGCACCTTATAGACTAACAAATGTATTGGAGCATGAGCTTTCATGGGTGAATACCCACTTCATCAGATGCATTTCCATTACATGCGTCTGACGAAGTGGGTATTCACCCACGAAAGCTTATGCTCCAATACATTTGTTAGTCTATAAGGTGCCACAGGACTCTTTGTTGCTTTTTATTGATGTCATTGTCCTGGTGCACGGGGTCACACTGCCATTCAAATTTGGCCCAGTTGCCCTTCCATCTGTCTTTGAGAGCCAAACGTCTCTTCTGTGCTGTTGCCCTGCTTTGGAAAGCAGGCTGCATGCCTTGGAAGAATGTACCAAAACCACAACTTTAACAAACTGTTGAACAAACTTTTTTGAACAAAAAAAGAAATCACAACTTTCTTATGGCCTTAGTCATAATGTTATTCACTCTTTCCAAAGCTCTCCATCCTACTTTTGGCACCAAAATTACTCAATTGGTCTTAATTCACATTTTTTTTTAAATCGACTTAAGCAAAATCAAAATAGGGCACTCGTATTCAAAAATGAGTGCCTACCCCCAGACTTGCACTGAAAAAACAAAAGGTATGATTTAAAACTCGTACAATTATTTTGGTGCAAGTTTGTGTACAGACCAGCTCTTAGCCATACTTAACAGCTTTTAATACTCTCTATGATCTTGCGCGCTTGCACTGAATGTGATTTTTTTGGTCAGAAAAAGCTTAATAAATACACTGACCTCTTTTTCATGCTTAAGGGTATGTCTGTTCTTCAAACTGGAGATGTGTGCGATTCACAGCTCGAGGAGAAATATTAACGATAGCTCTGATCGAGTTAGCGCACTAAAAATGGAGTGTAGCCACTGTGGCACAAGCCACACGAAAGGCTAGCCGCCACGAGTATGTGCCTGGGGTCTCGGATGGAAAAATACTTGGGGCAGTTATCCCTTGAGCTGCTCACGCTGCCATAGCTACCCTGCTTTTAGCATGCTAGCTCAATCAGAGCTAGTGTGGGTATCACACCCCCAGCTCATAGTGTAGACATACCCTAACAAAGAACAGTTCAAGGATCGTCTGTGAAATTAAGAATAATCAGTTATCTTATTGTTGGGGATCATTTACTGCTGCTGCTGAACATATGTGGTACAGTATGTCTTGAGCTATAGATTAATATTTTTTTTAAATGCTGGTAGCAGCAGTAAAGGGGGTAGTCTTTCTTTCCCCATACAAAATGATTCTGTAATCAGAACATAACATTTATTTTAAAAAGAACCATCCCTTTCTATGATAGTATGATTTACAAAATTTAAATCAGAGAATTAGAAAGAATGATAATATAAGGTTATATGGCAAAGCATTGTGTAACCCACGCACCTTCTGTCCCATCTAGTGGCACCGAGACCACTTAGAGAGAGATTAATAAGTCTGCTCTTTAGCCTTAGCTAACAGGCAGTTGGCTTTTAGCTCGTGGTAGAGGCTCATGTACTAAGCTCCAGAGGTCCTGAGTTCAATCCTGTCCATCGATGACTGGCATTACAATTACACAGATGGGATGAGTTAAAAAATAAACATCTATTCTGACTGGGCATGATTCTCTTATTTATACTTGTGTGAATCAGGAGCAAGCTTGAAATCAGCCGAGTTACCCAAGTGTAAATCAGTTGTGAGTGGAGAATCAGATCCACCATGTAGATGTGATGTTAGCATTTATGATTTATCATATTCCCTCAAATGTACCATATACCTATAATAAAATACTTATTTTTTTATGGTGCATGGTAGTAATTTTTATACTATCATGTTTAACTTTGAATTCATAAAGTAGCAACTCCATATTAATAATAATTAACTAAATGTGGAAGGGATGTTTGGTTTTTGTTTGTTTTTTAGGAAACAGTGCAGACTTGACAGGGCGGGGAGACGGGACGGACTGTTTAAAACATTGAATATAGCAATTTCTCCAGTTTGCCATATTCTAATTAGTAATAGACAGAAGAATATAGGAGGAAACAAATATGATATTACTTCATGTTTTTTGGTTGTACTTTTTATGGCTTAGAAAAAACAACTTTATGCTCTTTGTATTGTTCTGTTTATAACTGTATGAAGATACACTCCTCCTGCCATATCAACTCTGGGCCCGATTTACAAAGCTATTTAGATGCCCTAAGACAGGGGTTCCCAGGACAAATTATTTGGTGCCCTTGGAGTGCGGCCACCAACTCCTGCTGGTGGCCGCTCTCACACTTTTCTCTAAAATACTTAATTAGCGTTAGGAAAAACAAATAAATATGCACATATACACGTCCAAATCATTGTAGTTTATTTATTGCTAGCTAGTAAGTCTGTTGTGAAAAGTGATATTAACAAACATACAAGTATCACTTTTCAGAGCAGACTTACTCAGCCCTGGCAAGGCTGGGAACAAATTAAGCCCTTGATTGGTGGTCAGAGGAGGCAGCAGAGACCAGGGGTGATGGGGGTGGAGAGGTGACCAGGGGAGGCAGCAGGGGGCTGCAGCCTGAAGTGCCACAGCTGGTGGACGGAGCCCAAAGCCGCATGGCTGGAGCCTGGGGCCTGCTGCTGCGCAGCCAGAGCCTGGGGCTGGTGCTTGAAGCCCCACAGCCAGAGCTGCCACTCTGCCACCCCACGGCTGAGTCCCACTGCCCCAGGAAGGTGGGGAACTTACTGGCTACCTGCTCCTCCAGCATTGGGCCCCATGTGTCTGGCGGGGAAATGGGGGACAGGGCCCAGCCCCTGCTGGTAGCCTCAGCAACCAACACCAAGGCAGTTCATCCAGGAGCACCAGGGAGGGGGAGGGGCCGCGGCTCCCTCCACCCCAATAACAGCCCAGGAGGCTGTGGCCGCAAGAAAAGCCCCAGGTGGCCTCATGTGGCCCCGGTGGCTGCATTTGAGAAATGCTAACTAGATCCTGGTAGAGAGGAAGCCAGAGCAATCACCTAGATTTTCTGTAATATAGGAATTATTCTAATGTATCAATTGTTTATAACAGCATTCCAACACTGATGGTTTCTGCCTATGCATATAAATGACTGATGTTAACATGTTATTGCTTCAAGGTAGGCGGAGTGTTTTAAGGCTGTTTGTGACTTTAGTTTACAAAATTACTAACAGCAAATCCAGTTATGGAGAGTCTAAACTTTTTAACCTTTGTATATCTGTAATCACATAATGAAATAATATATCCTCTTCTGTTTTTTATTGACGTCTCAGTCCCTGAAAATTAAATACATTTGTTTTTCCTGTGGTTCTCTTATCAGTTAAGTTCTTGACTTCATTGCAGGGGTTCTCGCAAGACATCTTTTGGTGGCCTCAGAGTGTGGCCACCAACTCTTGCTGGTGGCCGCACTGACAAAATACTTAATTAACTTTAGGAAAAACAAATAAATAACACATATACACATCACTGTAATTTATGTAGGGTTGGGGGTTTTTTGCAGACTCAATAATAAAAATACTACTGTGAAAAGTGATATTTGTATGTTTGTTAATATCACTTTTCTCAGCAAGTTCCAGGACAAATT